TTCTCTGAAATGCAGAAAAGGTCTTGTATTGTGTCTCTTTTCTTCTTGCTGGTGACAATGTGTCTTGAAATTTGCCCTATGCCTCAGTTCTTCTACATGTCAACTTGTGGCTGTAAAGCTGGAGGGAGGAAGCACATCCTGCAATTTTACCACAGAGGACAAAGGAACAAATGTCTCAGATCAGAGAAGTACTGAGAGGCCACCATTATGCATGGAGATGAGGAATGGCACAGCTGGAGTCATGCATACAGTTTCAGATGGCACTAAAGTGTTTATCTGGGGTTGGTGTGAGGGTGGAGGAAAGCACTGATGTGGCATTTTTATATCTCTGTTTAATCCATTCCGAGTCCTTTAGCTTTCTCCTTCCTTTAAAGAAACTGAATGTCCTTCAAAGGACACTGTTCATCTATTTGAAATGAATTGTAAATCCTTTCCTGAATTTGGGCTTGCATCAGAAATGGGCTAAGAGAAGAAATGAACCAGGTCTGTGAGACAAACCAGACAGAGCCTGTATAACATGTACCCCCTTAAAATTAGTTACTGTCTTCTTCTAAAAGCAGTAGCTGTGTATGACTTGTCATCTTGATGTTCTTAGGCTGTCAGTTTGGCTCTAACTAAGCCACCATTTAAGGCCAATTTGTACAGGGTGTAAGAGACTTATAAAAATAATCAACAATAGCTGCTTCCATCTATCTTTTTCCAGAGAATTATTTTCTATTTGATTCTAATGGATGTTTACCAGCAATTTTCTCATGGATATTTCTGATTTTTTAAAATATTTGTTTGTTCTGTCAAATTTGCTCGCTAAAGATGCTGTTTAATTTCATGGGCCACGCTGGAAAAATGTCTGTGACTGCAGGTGAGGACTCTGAGTCATAGATGCTTTTATAATCAGCTAAAATAGAGCAAATGCACACCTCCAGAATTACAAATTTCAATACCTCTTCTGACAGTACATCCAAGATAGTATCATTTTTTGAAAGCATAATAGTATTTCTAAAATCAAATTAAAGATCTTACTTTCAAGATATTTCATTTTCTGTTCCAAATAATGTTCAATCCACAGTGTAACTTTGTCATCCATAAAAAACCCTGAAATTAAGAGGAACATTATATGATCTATTATGCATTTTTTTATTTGTTGAAGGCTTGCTGTAGAATCTGCTTGTTTCCAAGGAATGAAAATTGCTTATTATCCCGGATAATGAAAGAGAATGTCGTCATGTATAATTCCTAGTTTAGGATACTTACTGTACCCTTCTATTATAGAAGGGTTGGCAGAAAAAGAGTTCAGTAAAGGAAGCAGCTCTTAACATTTTTCTTAAATAAAGGAGGGATTTATTTGCAAGTTAGATTTATATGTCCTTGACAGCAAAATATATTGGAGCAACTTTCTTAATTGACAGATTGTAACCTAAATATGAATGCTATTTACTGAATACAATTAATGAGTATTAAAGTTGTTTTTTTCAATGATCGTAGAAGTGTGCTTCTAAATATACACCTAAGTATATAAATGTACCCACCTGTCTATGTATGAGTGTGTAGGTGTATTGTATATGCACTTAATTGCTTTTTTTTAACACAGAGCTTTTGCAGTATCTAGACATTTTTTCCAGTCTGCTCCTGTTTTATTTCCCTGATTAAACTCTTGCAAGCTAATCTTTACAGCATAAGAAGGTTTGCTTTAACACTCTCTGCCTAAATATGACAGTTCTGTAAACAGCAGCTGTATGTGGTCAGTCACGAGATCTGGAAATCAAAACTATATGGGCCATAGTCACAGCTCACGAGACAAACATGATGTGCTGGAAATTGACTGCCAGACAGTCGGGATTTGATAAGTTGCACTAGACTGTATGTCACACTTTCTGCAGCAGTAACATTTCACACACACACACACAAGTGTTTATACAATTAAAAAAATAAAAAGAAGAAAAGAAAAAAAAAGAGAAACCTACTCCAAACTCTATGATTAAAATGATTCAACTAGAAGGACATTCTTAGGAACAAATTTTCAAATATTTGTGCCTAAAGGGCTAGAAAACCAGTTTAGACCTAAACCCCCGTGAACATCAGGTATTCAGAGCGGTTAGCTCTTTCCGCAGTTGCAGAAGTGAGCTTTAAAGATGTGACTGCAGTCAGCCAGCAACAATTTATGCCTACATGGAAGAAAAAAGCTCAGCACTGGAACAGTGAACCCAGAAAACTAAGTGATGAAGAAAATGAGAGCTTTTCTAATAAGGAAAATAATAGTGAAAAAAGTATTAGTATTGGAATCAGCAAACAGTAGAGGAGTTCATAAAAAAGTCTCCTCCCGATATCAGTCATGGATTTTTCATCTAAGCCAAGATAGCTTTCATCCATCTCACTGACATGTCCTGCCAGACTCAGGCTAACTCAGCCTCTGTTTTGGATATCACTGCAGGGATGTCAGAGTTGAGAAAGAAGACTTCAAAATGGTTGCAGATCATTTCTAAACACACACACGTGCGAATCCCCCATGGTTAGCAGGTATAGCATGTCCCTGCAAGCACACAGGCGCAGCTGGAAGCCAGCTTTTGACTTCTGTTTGTGCCTAATTAAAATTATGCAAATTCTAACAACAAGATTACAACTTGGTAAAACAAAACAAATAAATGTGTTTTCCACAATGCTTCTTTATTCATCTATCCCTTCTCTTCACCTTCTGACAGAAAATAATGGGAAAGGTCTGATGGGCAGCAAAGGGAAAGTGAAACTGTCCCTGTCAATTCTTCAAACCTTTTTGTAGAGCTTTCAATTTGAAAAACACACATGCTTTTCTGGGATACTCACATCCCATTTTTTTTCTAAATTCCAGCCTAGGCAAGGTGACATTCCCAAAACCCTCAACCACATCACGGCTCCTGCTGTATTCAATATCTTTGCGTGTAATACCGAGCTTTCAAAACCTTTTAGCCATTCTTCCCATACTTATGGAGATCCTAATTAATTGCTTTTGTGGTGTGCAGGAATGCTGTTGCTTTGTGAAGAGCAAGAAAGAAGTTCCCCTGGTGACAAGAACTTTTGGGTCTTCATCTAATTAGGCTGTACACTGCTAGGAAGTAGGCATCATGCTGTGCTTGCTTGCTTGCATCAAGTCAGACACATTCCAGCGCAGCTCAGGTGTTTTGTAAAACACAGATATAAACCATTTTTTTCCTGAGATGGTGGTTGGTGAGGTTGGGGAAATATAGATATGTTTTGGTCTCATAATTCACCATTCTTAGAGAAAAGAAGAAAGATTCATGTTCCAGCATTTAAATTGTCATAAGCTGTAAAGATTAGATACCTTTTATTTATAATGTCTGTATTGTTTTATTTGGAATTAGACAGGAGGAATCTTCTTTTTAGTGTGGCCACGGTGATGAAATTGATCTTCAGGGGGAGGTAATCTTGGCAGAATTTGCAACAACAGAATGTATATTCCTTTTCTGAAGCCATTTGATGTTATGAAAACTGGATGCTGTACTGTGGTGATAGAAAAGTCCATAATTTTGAGATAGTCCCAGCTCAGCCATTGTGTTTTCTAGTACTTCAGCCTGTAGTCTGTGCTTAGAACTGGAGTCCACAAATGGAAAGTAGACTGTAAAACAACTGGAAATTCTGAAATAAAAACCTTAACTTCATCCTTCTCCATATATTTGACTGTTTTGTAGTACTACCAGCTTACAATTGCTGTCAGCTCTTTTGCTGGATATGTACATTCAAGAGCACTCTTCTTATGTTTTATTTTTTTCCCCCAAAATGATAACATGGTGCTAGGATTGAGGAAGGTCAAGAAATAAAACCCTTTGTAGTTTGTGCACACACACAAAATTAGCCCACACCCACACAGATTGCAAACACAATATGCCTTTATCGGAATCTGAATTTGAATTCTTGGATGCAAAAGCCACCTCTGTGCTGGCAGCCCATGGCCTCCCTATGGTCAGTGGTTCTCACAGGTGACACACATTTGGCAGGACCCCTTCAGGAGCACTTCTGTGGCTCCATGTGGCTGCAGGGAGCACCTGGAATTCTCTAGTTTGGCTGAGAGCTGCAAAGCAGATGATCCTCTGGCTTTGTTCCTCGTGGGGGATGACAGTTTTACCTGCTGTCTGGATGCTGACACCTTGGAAATACCCAGAGAGCTGGTCTTTAGGCCTCACAGATGTGAATCCCACCTCACATCACTCCCATATCCAGGGGATTTTCACCAGGCTCTGGGAGAGAGGAGGATTTATTATGATTAGGGATGCTCTGCTACAGTTTATGCCATTTAGTTGCCTTCAACCAAGGACAGAAGGGAGGGTAATGAATCCTAATGCTGTGATCTGGAGGAATTATTTCAGAAGGAGAGGGTGGAAATTTGGTAACATTATAATTTTGAGAGTGGCAAGGAAATGTTCCTAATACCATCAACTATCCCAACCTGCTTGATCTGAGCTGTTGGGGTCCAGGTCAGTAGGTCATTTTTGACTACAAAAGAGGATCATTTCTACCTTAATGAGGCAAAGATGGCTTATTTCCGTCTAACAGATGGCAGTGGATATGAGTCATGCATCTGTCTGGGATGTATTTTTCTGAACAAAGTAATTTGACCAGCAGTTTCCAGTAGCCCCATGCTCTTCCCTATGGCTCCTAAGATTGCACGTGCTTTATAGACTCTGACCATTTACTATTATATCACATTTGGGAGGGAGGAAATGAAACATAGTGTTAAAAGTATGCTTATTTACATTTGGGAGCACCACACTGTTTCAAACCAAGAAGTACAAATATGGAAATGTGGAACCTGCTTGAAGTTCTTATATATTGGGATTTTTTTTTTTTTTTTTTTTTTTTTTTTTTTCCTGGCACTACTCCAATCTGCAATGGGAAAGGAAGCAGAGGATGCTCAAACTGTTTGTATATTTATGGATCTGTTTGACTTTTAACAAGTTATTCTGAGAATGCTGGACTCCTTGCTAATGATTTTGTATCTTCTAATTATCCAGGAGCTCTGACTGGGATCTTTGCTGCAGTGATCCTGCAAGTGTGGATTACTTGAAGTCTGATAAAGTGAGCTTTCGTGTTGGAAGTGGTGTCTTGGATCAGCCAGAGCATGCAGAGAGTTTCTCTCTGCTGCCAGTTTATGAGAAACTTGTCGAGAATTATCTTTGCACTTTCTACCTTTCTTCACAGTTGAGGTGAGCCACAGGATTCAAATGTGTATATACACACTTGTACACAGTGGAACTGCTCAAGCCTTGCTTCCAGAGGGAATCGGGCTAGAATGATATGATGACTCTGGGGCTGCAAGGATTTACAGTTCTGAGATATTGCAAGCTGACAGGTTCAACAGCAGGGTCTGTCTCCAATTTGATTTTAGAAGCTGATTTTTCTTTTGATTTTAAGAGCTGCTTTCTGAAGGAAGTAATGGATTTTTAAGTGAAAAACCAACTTGCTCAAAGTATTTTTTTTGTTAAGTATTAGGTATTTTTTTTCCTTTTAGCATCTCTGAAAAATCATCAAACAGAGGGTTTTCCTGAGAATGCAGGATTAGTCTGGGATATGGTATTAACTATTTCTTCCTTAAGCAAGTTTGAGTAAAGATAGGGAAACACCTGGTGTTTTTCAACTTCTGCTGTAAGTGGACTGAGCTTTCCTTGAGCTTAGTGGGTTAAGTGAAACTGGAACAAGAAGCAAACCAGCAATCTTTACCATATAACAGATTATTTTGATACAGGTCTAACTGAAGAAAGAATATGAATTAGGATTCTATGTACATCCTTGAGAAGGTAATTTCAAGATATTTGTATCCAGATTTCTAAGGAAGTACAGGTTATATGGTTGCACTAGTGTATACTAGTGTTCTCTCAAACTTTCAAACCTGTTGGTAATTTCAATCAGATTTAAATGTAAAGTAAAAAGTCTGAAGGATAATAGAGTATATAGCAGTAATTATTCCATTTCACAAAGATAAGATATATCCTTGTGGAAAAAATTTTCTTCCACATCCCTTTCCAGTCTTAGACTGGCATGGTTGATGAGTGAGGTGCTTTTAAATAGCACCTTCCCTCCCATTTTTGGAGTCTCCCTTGCTGGAGACATTCCAAACCCACTTGAATGCATTCCTGTGTGACCTGCTCTAGGTGATCCTGCCTTGGCAGGGTGATTAGACTAGATGAACTCCAGAGGTCCCTTCCAACCCCAGCTATTCTGTGATTCTGTGATTTCACTATTATTCCTGGAGCTGTGGGCTTTGCAGGACCTCTTCTCACAGAGAGTTGAGTCTAAGCACCTGAGTTGACAGCAGGTTCACTCTGGTTGGAATAATGCTGCAGATATAGCAAAACAAAGCAAAAAAAGTTTTTTAAATGCATTTGGTGTTTTTTGCATTTAAAAGATGACCACCAGGTTTATCACCAAAAGCCAGATTGCTTGTGGAGAAAATCCTATGAAAAAGAGAAATGGATTGTTGTCTACAGGAATTCACCTGCTTTCTGGACAGCCTTTGGTACACAAAGAAGCATGGTCTAGGGACAGTTCTGTTACACTAGGTGCTATACGAAGGCAGGGTGCAAGCTCAGCTATTTAAGGTATGTATATATATAAATAGCCCCTGTGTCTTTGATCTGGCTGAGCTGCCTGTTAGGCTTTGGCCAGACACTAGAATATGTGTGCCTTAAGCCTTGAAATCTGAACAAAATCTGTATAGTCCTAGGATTAACTTTAGTCCTTGAGATTTGTCCTTATTTCAGATTACCTTTTCCCAATTTTTATCTAGCATGAACATGCTGAGCTGCAACTCATTTCTCAGGTGCATGTGGTGCTGTAAACAAATTATCTTTATTCTCTGCTAAATAGAGCAAGAAAATCTTCAAACCTGCCTAAAATAACAACTTCTCTTTATATTCCCAGTGTGTCTCTTTTCATTCAGTGACAACCTAAGCTGCTTCTGCAGCTCGTGTTAACTCCTGTTTGGCTTGTCCACAGGGATCTTCTTTCTTTACTTCCTTCACTATCTCCCTGCCTTTTTTTTTTTTTTTTTCCCTGCGCTCCATATATTTATTTTCCCTGTGGTTACCCTTCCTGGTTCCAAACTCTTATTTTATGGAGTGGTGAGCCTCTTAAACTTCGGTTTCTTCTGTCCCAAGTGTTTTCATCTCAGCAGATAACCATTAAGATTTAATTACTAACTGCTGCCTAAGTTCTGGATAGGTTGTAATGCAGACCTTGGTCAGCATCAGTACATGTGCATGGGGATATCCCAAAATACACTTCACTTCTTAGTAACAGCTTCATAACATCAGCCAGAGATAATAGATTGTGCACAGAATTTCCTCTGTCTAGAATGTAAACCAGCACTTCCTTGATGCCCTGCGATGCAGCTATACAAACACACTGATTTTCTTCTTCCTCTAGCTCATTTGCTCAGCACTCAAGCACCAATTTAGAATGATGGATCTGGTTTTAATCCAGATGGCTTGATGTAGTGGTTTCTCTCCCTCTCACTAACTCCCTCCTTCCTCTCCTTATCCTGCAATTTCTCTGCTTTGTTTGGTTCTGTTTTACAGCCTTTGCTAGGACAGGTATTCTGCTTTCTCCTTTACTGGATATCTGACATTTGTGCTGCCTTTGTCAGCTGAGTCTTTCAAGTCACTCCCAGAGATGTGGTCTTTAAAGGCAGCTCTGCATTAGAGAGGCACACATTGTCTCATGATGTGGCATCACTCCTACATGTTGCAGGTATTTTCCTGGCAGCTTGTCTTCAGCTTAGAGTGGAATAGCATAACTGATAAGAGCTAAAGATGTCTGCAATATGTTAGTAGAGCTCTGTGAAGAAACTTATGCAGCATTTGTTTGTCTCCAGCTCTGCCCAGTATTGTAATCATGGTATTGGTAATCTACTGAGGTGCTTCTGAGAATTAAGAAAAAAAAAACCAGCAAAACTGCTCATACTCTCAAGATGTATGTGTGAAGATAATGAATATTATTAGCCTCTCTTTTAAAACTGAGAGGCTGTGCATAAATGATTTACTTAGGGCCCCAAAGGAGCCTGTGTTCGACTAGGGAGCTGAACTTTAATTGTACCTGACTTTAATCCTGTGTTCTGACTGTACCTCCCTCATTACCTACCTGTCCATTTTCATTAGTGCTCATATCCATCAGCCTCATTAATAAATATGTGAGGGTGTTTTATCATGGCTACTAAACGAGAAACTTAATAGAGATCTGGTCTGGAAATGTTTACTTGCCTCAAATACACATTTGCCTAAAATTGCTGTCATTTACACTGAATGCGAGCTATGTTATGACATTAACCATGACTCATTTAATGTCAGCCATTAACCTCAGGTTATGGTCACAGAATCACAAGTGACTGAAGTACTGGTTTTTTAAGAGACTAGTGCCTGCAGGTGGAAATTACTGTCCCCAGAGGGAAAAATCCTGTGACAATTTCAGTCAGTCTAAGTCAACGTGTCCATGGTCCTGCCTTTATTAGCAGCTCCTGAAAGATGTTTCCATTTCTTTTCTTTCACTGGCACCTGCAACTGTATGCAGTTCAAGATGAAACAGTTCAGAGAGAAAAATCCCTCCGAAAATATTTTTTTAATCATTGTTATTTTTAAAGGGCTACTTTGACTTTCTGAACTCTTATTCTTCAGTCATTCAAGAAGCAGTGCTGGCACATCAGAAAGTACAAGATCATTGTCTGCTTTGGTTTATGCTGTTCAGCAGCCTCAGCTGAAAGTCTGGTGGCTGCCCACAAGGGCTGGGAAGGTCCCAAGTCCTTGCCATGCAAAATAAGAACAACTAACTTAAACACCACTGAAAACTAACTAGGAGTAGACAAATGTTCAGTATCTGTCTCACATGAAGAGCATTAATTTCTCCTAGCTAACTTACTTGATGATGTGAAATTATCCTACTCTACCTACAGAACTTGTGTTGGGCTTGGGAACGGTGACTGGAAAGATTTCAAACCTGGTTACCAGCTCCAGCTGACATTACTGCTTGAGTTCATCAAGGGATATGTTTGCTTTGTGATTGAAGTTTAAAACAGAAATATGTGATAAGTTAAATTGCTTCCCTTGGTTATGAGTAGACGTGCTCTCAGTAGTATACCTACTACTTGCTCTGCTGCCCCTGTAACAATCTTTTGCAGGGGAGGCAGGGAAGAGAGGCTGGGGAAATAACTTCCCCATCTTACCTGAGAAGGAATCATGTACCAGAGTCTTTGCCAATGGTTTAACACAGCTGCCACCTGCAGCTACTGCTGGAGAAGAAAGTCTCACTTATGAGGGGTGTATCTATGAAGGATTATTTCAGCAGCACTGAAATCTTGAAAATGCAGAGGACAAAATGAATGATTTTTTATTTGTTGCAGAATATAATTTCAAGTTTGACTAGAATAGTTTATGAATTTAGATCAAGTTTAGTTAGAGGTTTGGCAGAAAAAAAAAGAGAAAATAATGTTTACTTTTAATTTAAAAGACTTTGCTCTCTCTCTTCAGAAGCATTTATTAATCCAGCTGTCTTTGCTTATGTATTACTGCCCTGACCTTCTACCTAGGTGTATCACAGAGTTAGTTTATGAGCTCTTGTTGCAGCTAATCTATTTTGAATAACTAATGAAACACTAATTTGAACAGAAGTACCTTAATCATAAGTTGATGAATTCAGTCAGTCTTCCTTCATTTCATTTCTGTGATTAAGGACTAAAGTGGGTGAGGGACTAAAGAACTTTCATACCTGCATGGGAGCTTTCATTCATCCTTACATGAAGGTTCTCACTGCACCTAAGGGGATCTAAAAAGTGACTTGCTGACCTTAATAACTCCTTTCTATCTTGTCCCTCACACCAAAACCAAGGTTAAACCAAACCAAACCAAGACAAAATAAAACAAAAACCAGCTGATAAAACCAGTGATTTATTGGAGCTGCCTTAATAGCTGGATGAGAGGCTTTATAAGAGTTAGAATAAGGACCATAGCTTATGGGGAAAGGAGAGGACTGCACAGACAAGAGCAGGCCTTCAGCAGATGTAACTTAGATTTGTTTGCGTCTGTTGAAGCTGCTGGGAAACAGGATATCAGGGAACAGCAGAGCAGATGTGCCAGCAGTGGTGGAGAGCTGTGTGTGTGGGTGACAGCATGGCCAGCATGGCAGTGCCCTCTCCCTGTGCAAGAGCAGAACAAGCCCAGCAAGAAGAGCAGAACAGATCCAGTGATAGTGTCAGGGTCAGGCCCAGCCCAGATCTGTCTGTGGGTCCATAGGGATGGGATAGGTCCAAGGACAACCTGGAAATAAATCAAGGTCAGGATCAGCAAGGCACATGGCCATTGCAGACACATGGACAGGTAGCTCAGGCAAGATCTTGAGTGTAAT